CTCTGTTATTAAGATTACCAAACCAAAATTAATAATCAGTCTGTTTGAGAAATTAACTGATGTTGACAGAGTATAATTAATAATTGCAGTAAAACGATGATCTGGTTAGTAGTTGGGTCTCGTGACTGAGCTGGTAAAGCATCTGACAAATATTTCGCAGGCCGCTAGTTCGTATTCCACTGGAGTGCAGATTTTAGTTTCAGCCGGTTACAAACAATTATCATCGATACTGTAACACAAAGTTGTAGTGCTTTTCACTACAACAAAAATGTTAAAACATTTGCTACTGAACACAGTTCACGAATTACTGGTAAAGGTAATCTTGCTGATTAAAAATACAGTATAATAATCTAACCCTGTCACTGTGTTGCAATTTAGTTTCATACTGTATAAGTTTATTTTAAAATAGCACGCAGTGATACAAATTATTGTAACTCCTATTATCATCATCATCCAGTTAACAGTATTGTATCACAATGCGGTTTATCAAATAAACTGATTTAACATTAGACTACAGACATAATTGCCCAAATGCCCATCGTCTTAAAAGCATATAAGAATGATTAAAACTGTGGCCGGAGTATATCTCTGACTAGTCATAAGATTCATAAATAACATATTATTCAGTGTCATTTAAAGTAGTTCCTGAGCTATTTTATATATATATATATATATATATATGTATTTCGAGTCTGACCACAGACTGATATCACTTAGAGAACCATTGAAAACCAGGGCCATTGAATCGGGTCTTAGTGGCTAAATAGTATACGAGCTTACCTTGTTACTGGAAGGTCCTGGGTTCGAATCCAATGGGTGCGTACTGCCGATGTACCCCCAAAATAGGATGAAACAGCTGTCCATTACTCCAGTGGTTTTCTAGCTGACATCAATCCTTGGTAGAACTCGAGAAACAGATCTAATCCTTACGAATCAACTCTTGAAAAAAATTATACACTGTATTGGCAAACCGCTGGACAGAAATCAATGCCTTTTTAGCCGTTAGTGCTGGATAAATTCAATGGATCAGGTTTGCAACGCGAAAATTCATTGTTACGTCTCATCCCGGATAGATACATCAAATTTGGAGGTAATTAGTCAATCTATGACCTAATACTATCTCCAGTGATTATTAACTGCACCTAACTGACTATACGAAGGAACTCTAGTGCAGTAATGCTGTCACTGATTCTAGAAGAGGATAGAGATGTTTTGAATCTTTCAAACTGTAATCATTTCTTTCAAGGTAAAAGATGTGTTCCACTGACAAGTGTTAATAAACACCGAACCTAGGTCAAGTAAGACTTCCTATTGACTGTCCCTAAAATAACCCACATCATTTATTAGGATTTGTGTAAGTTAAAAATATCTTGTCAACTTTTTATTGATTGTATTTTCATGGTCAGAGACTAGCTATTTAATGCAAAGATCTAATAAAGAAAAGCGATCAAGCAATTTCTATGTTTTCTTTTTCTCAGATTCTTTAATTGATTGAAAGAAAAGTTATTCGTTAGTTCAACACAAACTTGTTAAAAAGTGTGGACCACAAGAGATGCATCATGAGAAATAATGAGACACAGTGTGTGTGTGTGTGTGTAGAAGAAGCAGAATAACTAAGGAGCAGGATCATTAAAAAAACTGGCAACCACATTTATGGAGAGTATTTAAGTGACATTCATCACTTTATGTTACTTTCAGAAAGATAGAAGAGGAGAATATTTCAGCATTTCGCAGTTGGTTACGATTCTTAAGCATATCTGAGAACGTCTAAAGCCACCGATTTGGATACTGACCTAACACAAGTATCTTTCATCTTATGGAGCCATATCACGGGTTTACGGCTACTCCATATTTTCCCAAGGTAAGAGGTCATTGAACGGTACAGGAGTTACCGGGATAAAAAGTGTAGTACGTGCCCAAGCCACTGATGCCAGTGTTCTAACATGACATTCCTTATTGAATGACTATCTCCACCATGTCCAAACACACGTTGTCGGACCTAAAAATCATTTATATGATGATACTACAGGATGCGAGCGATTCTATGGCGGGAGTGATGTCCAAACAACCAAATTTGTCGCACATTCTCAGTTCAGTCAATGTCTTTAAATGTTAAATAACTTCATTGAAGATTAAAAAGGAAATAGAGGAAGCGAAAACCCTATCACATTTTGTAAAAATCTTTTCTTAATACACGCATTACCCTATTAATCTGTTATGAGAGATAAATTGTGGCTATCCAAAAATAAAATCTTCATTTCGATACTGAATAACTGTTATTTCATTTTTGAATCTACCTAGTTTCTACTTGTTCTGTTCTTTCCGATACTAGTTACAAGAGAGGTAATAAATTAAAGGCTTATTATATTCCTTAAAACACAGTAGATACTAACATTTATACGGTACGATACAAAAATCCTAACTAGAACACACTATTTAGCTAAATAATTTGTGTCTGAATATAAAATTATTAAAAATATGAAGTATGTTAGATAAAATGGTTATGTGGTAGAAGCATATTTTATTTTTTTATCATAATTTTAATCTCCTGTCACAATAGTTACTAGTGTCCAATCAAAATCCCCTGTCTTCTCTAGAAAATAATCCCTATTAAATGTGCTTGCTGTAAGTACTTTAGATGATTTCAAACAGTTATGTAAGCGGCTATGTATTGATTAGTTAGATGAAAGACAACTGATTAATCGATCGTACCGTCTGGTACTACAGCTTAATAATAACTATGATCACGTGTAGTATATTCATATATATATATATTCACGTAGGTGCCTGTTAAATTGAAATCGGTATACCGAACAACCAAGCACTCATCAAATAAACTATGTTTTGTATGTGAAAGAATAACTTAGGCAATTCTACGGTAAACTATTTAACAGAAGCTAGAGAGTCGGTTAATGATAATACAGATATGAGGAAAAGATTGGTGAATTAGTAGATAAGATTTGTAGCTCAGGCGGATGATTTGCAATTAGTTGTGTTCTCCGACCTGATCGGTTTAATTGCGAGGCTTTCGTCGTCCTTCTGGACAATATCTTCAGAGCAATTTTTAGCATGAAATGAACTCATTTGAATTTTCCGTGAATGATATAATTTTCTCTCCTGACAACCACCTTCATTCATATAAATTCATAGTGGGAAAATGAATTTGCCACTCACAGATTACGCACTTCGAGGTTTCTTTGAAGACTGAAATTATTCAGATCACAAAATATATGATACGATAAATGGTAATCAGAAAAGTAAGCATATATGTATAATGCTGTATACTACTACTGGTTGACTGATATGAATAGTTGAATGCCACTCACATCCATCAACCAGTAGTGCTCGTCAACAAGGTCGATGTGATCTAAACACCAGTCAATCCCTTCTGTCGTTCTAAGCCTAGCTCATCATCTGCGTATCCAGTTCAACTCATTCCAGAGAGAAAAGTCAGTTAAAAGCTAATTGCAAATCTGATTCAGTGAAAATTCGAGTGGCCTGAACTGATTTGGCTCTCTGAGCGATGTCAAACCGTTCATGGGCTTGTCCACAAATTAGAAATGAGTCCATTGAGTGACTAAATCACTTCAACCAGGCTAGCAACCACTATCCAACATCTCATCGTAATCAATTAGTGGTATATGGAGAAGTGTACTTAAAATAGCAATCCGGATTTTAAATTTTTTGTTTTTTACCTAAAAGCATATTAAAAGTGAGTTGAAAATAGGTATCCTAATGCAGGCTGCTGGTTTAAGTCTGAAATCAATAGACCAGACACTAAAAATAGTACCTAAATCTGCTATTAGTAAGAGGATTTTTATTTTCCCAAAGCCTTTCGTTCAGGCACTTGGTCAGCTATTTCATGTATATATGACAGTGACCTGATCATAGTCAGAGTTTAAAATATATCTGTTGAGTTCGTGCTAAACTGCTTGTGCTTTCAACACATTATGTTTGCTTTTGAGTCATCTTTCCTCACGACTGCTGGCATTTTTGTACTTATTAACTATATATTGTGACAGACTGACTATCTTCTAAATAGTTAGACTAAGTGTTGTATTAACTAGAGGATTTCATCATGAGGTGACATCAGTTAGAGAACTATTGGAAAACCTGAGAGTACTGAACAGATTTCTTAGTCATATGACTAGCTTCCATGTTAGTGGAGTAAGCTAAAATATTGCTGGGTACTACTGATGCTTTCTCGTTGTAGTTTATGTGGTTTATTTCACCGAAGCACTAAACATAAAGGTTACTGTTACTATCATTCCTGTTTCAAGTACGATATTCCCTAAAGTAAATCTCAATAGTTTCTTTTAGACTTTTGATGATTTTAAGCATCACTTCGATGGGAAATGAGTCATTAGTACTTTAGATGCTACAAAGATATTCGTTTACACATGGAATGTAAAACATTCTATGTCGGATATATAATATTCGAAATCTCTCCGGCGAATTTATTTCATTATGTAGCTGGGAATCAATATTTATTGTAGAGGAATTTTTGAATTTTACTGCAATTTTACGCTGCTTACTGTGATTTCGTGCTAAAATGAGTTTCGACCCCCAAAAAGCAAATGCTAGTTCCTTTAAGAGGATGAAAGATAGTTCACATTGATGGGTTCTATGTGGTAAAAGACACAAGTCTACGTCTAGTTTGAGGATAGATACTAGACATTGATATTGTCTACGTATAGCACTACATTTCACAAATCAGCAGAAGTTAGAATTCGTCACCGAATGGTCAGCAGGCTCCTCTCATGAAACGAAGGTCTTGGACTCAATCCCTGGCTGGATCATGGCTTGTAACTACTGAAGAGTTAGAGGCTAAGACGAAACAACTGTAAAGTAAGTACTCCATGGTATTCAATGTGGTTCTCTAACTTCTAATATCACTTTGTGACCTTATATGAAAACCTGTAATGATGACTTTTTGCCTATTTTTCTCAAGCATCTAATATCACTGAAAAACCAAAATAGTACTGAAAATAATGAACACTTTTTATCAAATAAATTTTATTTCTTCACTTCACGAAAAATCAGAAATATCTTTCGTACAGTCAAATGAATCATTCTGTAAACTTCACAACAATCTTTATTTTAGAATAGATATATGTATTGAACATTGACTTATTGATTCATTAATTCACTATCCCATATATGTCTTTTACCATATCGCATAACATTTCCTGGAGGATTTGGATAATATTCGTCATCATCATCATTATTGTTGTCACGAGGATTTTTTCTCGGAACATTGAACAATTTGCCAACAAGGTTTGGGTCTAATGGTTCGAAAAATTGCCGTCTTTTTGTTAGAGAATTCATTATTGATGATGAAGGATATCTGATGACTGTTGAAGTTGTAAAATTTAAGCATATTTGAGCGATAAAGAAGTATAGGAGAATATGAAAATACATTTTGTTTGTCATAATTTAGTAGCAGGATATGTTTCTCCTATTGTTGTGGAAACCTTGAAGGGAGTAAATAAAACAAAATAGAAAAGTGAAAGTATTCAGCGTATGATAATATGTTCCATTGATTGATAATCGGAAGTCACTCACATCAACCAGTAATGTTTACTAGCCAGATCGTAGTTATCTAAAGAGTGGACTGCTGTTTGGCTTGTTTGGGGCTAAAGTCATCCAAAGTATAGCCGGTCTGACCAACCTCAAAGAGTTGAGGCTTCCCTGATTGCTATTTATAGTACCAGTGCGTCGGAGACACTTGCCGTCCACGCATGTGTTCCAGGGTTCGACCCCCAGCTGATGCACCCCTTTAACTCACTAATCTAGTAATAAGGCTGGTAAAGAGGGAAGGTTGAGCATGAGGCTAACAACACCCATCCTTTAAAAATAATCACCATTGCTACCGAAATTTCAAGCCTCTATCTTGAAGCCCAACGCTTCACTAAGAACGCAAAGAAATAAAAGAGATTTATAGTACCAAGCAGATCATATATTTTGTGCTGTGAATAATTTTAGCTTCCGAAGGAAATTATGGTGAAATTTCACACTGAACTAAATGTACTACAAATCACTAATTCAATCCAATTTATCATTAGTCACCCAAGTAGCTAACCAGCACTTGGGTGGTTCGGACTGATTCAGCTGTTTGAACTGAGTAAAACAAGGTACATCGCTGATGATATCAGTCCCAAAACCAGAGAGACGATCATCACATCTATCTGGCCAGCAAGCGCTGTTAAGTGATATGAGTAGTATCCAGCTACTCAAATCAGTTCATGAGTAGTATATATCACGGTGCATTTATACCTGCCTCTTAGATTATCATTTATGGTCTCACATATTGTATGATCTAAATAATCTGGGCCTCTAGAGGCTGTTGTGGTGAAATTTCACTGCAAACTGTGTAATTTTCAAATTGTGAATTTGTTTTAGCGCTTGTGAGATGACTGACCTAACCGTGAAGATTTCGTTATTCGGATCTTAAAAAAAATTGACAAAGAGAAGTAATTTGGTTCCAATGAAAAAATCTACAAAAATTCACCTGAATTTTTTGGTTATGCAGTCAATTACATGGTAACAGTTAAAGAGTTTTAATCGTGAATAACTAACTAAGTTGGTATTTCAACCAAAAAGCAAGAATACTAAAAGAAGTTAGTATTGAAATGGCGTAACCAAAGATTTGTGGGTCAGTGTGAGGATAGAAATTATTCTGTGTCTCCATCCTCCCAGCCTTAATACTTGATTGCGTAAGCGCCATCACCAGGCTTGGCTACACCTTCAGAATTAAATTCATCAAGAAATGAGATATATTCTCAAGTTGCATGCATATTTAGTTAACCGTTTTCCTATCTTTGCACACTTGTGATTTAAAGAAGAGATATCACAGTGCATCTTACAATCGTTAACACTCACGTTATTTTGTCATGAAATATATCTTGAAGAGTCCAGAACTACGAAGAAACAGTAGTCCCGTGATCCTTAAATCCACTAATTCTTTGTCTGATACTGATTCACGATAAAATGTTTCACTGTTAAATCATCCAGTGAGGGTGCCCCAAAATGGTTACATTTCAATCAAGAAATAACTTTTCAAAGTCTTTTGGTTACAGAGATGTGCCATCTATTCAGGATGCTTAAATATAAAAGTACAGCATATCATCTTGAAGGTAATGGATTAATAAGACATACGAATCAGACCCTTAAGAAATTAGTGGGAAAATTTCTAGAAGCAGGAAAAGAATAAGCCTGAGAAATTCTGGCATACCAATGCTTATTAGTGTACACATGAAGTGCACATATGTCAACTGAAAAAATATCCCACTTGCTATGGGCAGGTCTTCAGTTATACCTACCCAGTGAAACATTATTCGTATCAAAACTGGATGACTCATCGACTGTTTTAGAAGTACTGGTGGAACTACGAGAGGAGATAGCCATGTATCATAATTACGCACGAGAAAAGCTTGACAGAATACAGCAAAGAAAGAAAGATTCTTATGACATGAAAAAGTGGAGGATACTGTTAGATACAGGTGACACAGGGTAGCTTCAACAACCAGGGACTGGCTTCAATCTACAGAGTAAATTCCAAGTACAGGAGACAGGACCATTTGTATTGAACTGTAAGGTGACAGGAGACATGTGTGAAATACAAGAAGACGGGAATAACAATGCACAGAGTGTGGTAGTACATTTTATTCAGTCAAAATGATTCAGGCAAAGCCAAAAGATGTCGAATATTAATCCTCCCTCCATTAATAATCGTGATGATTTACTACCTGTCCCAGCCATTTGGAAAGTTCAACTACCCTTACAGCGAATAGAATGGAATAAAGAAGACTATAAAACGAAAGTTTCAAAGATGTGTAGTTACAATTGATATGATAATGAACGATAAATTATGTTCGGAACATTATCCAGTAAGTAATACTGTCTCACTGTGTGACACATCTAATTAACAATTTAATATGGATTGTCTACCATTCATACAAAGTTATAAATTTCTTTTATATTGGAAAATTTAACCATTGACAGCGTCCACTTTTAAATGTTAACATCATTCAATGTTTACCATTGGGATTTAACTCAGAGGCTTTAATATAATATGCTAATTAACTTATTTGAAGTGCGTGAATATGATAGATGCAGTGATCAAGAAATAACAAAACTGGAAGTAATATTTAAACGACAGTAATAATCAATGGTGTGCGGCTAAATTAAATTAGTAAAAACAATATATATATATATATATATATATATATATATGCTTTGTATATCCCGTTGGGAATAATCATTTAAAAGTCAAAAATATACATAACCAACTATGAATGTATGCGTCGGTGGAACAGCGGTAGAATGCTCGACAACCACGACTCATATGGTCCGGGTTTTGATGTTTGGCCACCTACGCACTCGTTTTCCTCGCTGAGCCAGTAATAAGGCTAGTAAAAAAGGAAGGTTAAGTATGAGGCTCACTACCACATCCTGTAAAAATAAACGCCACCGCTACCGAAACTTAGGTCTAGCTTGAAGCCCCATGGTCCACCGGGAATGTGAAGGAATAAGAAAAAAAAACCACCTATGGAGTAAACTGGGAGGCCAGCATTCTTTTTACAGTTATAAACTCATGTGAAACTATTGCATTATTGAAAATAATAGACTTTAACATAATGGTGAGTAATAATAGTAGTAATAATGGCTTTATTTCAACCAGTACTTTCGATATAGATATGGACTTTTTTTTGATTTACAGCTTGATTCCACACTGTATTTTCGGTACAAGTGTGGAATTTTCAGCATGGATATCGGTAGCCCAAATTTTGCAGGCCGACCATAGATATCAGGTGTGCGTCGGTGCGGGCTCGAAACTCGGACCATGTGCATGGTCGGCGAGAGTCCTAACCACTGTGCCACCGACGCACTTTTCAGCTTGTACTACAGTACTGCATCTAATTTCCTCTTTACTTAGTACAAACGGAAGTAATTAAACAGGGCATTTACATTGATAATATTGTTAAATAAGAATATGAACATAAGATCAAGGATTAAGTGGAAATATTAACAACAGTGTATTAATGAAAGAAAGGAAGTATAAAAAGTGCCGTTTACTTAGTGTTTCCGAATAGATGAGTAGTGTCATGCCTAACAATTTTCTCAGCACATAAATGTGCATCCGACAAATAAGTTATTGTAGAATTTTTATACTTAGTCGTCCGGGCATATAGTCTTTTATATATGCTTTTAATTCTACCTGACGATATGCAAGCAGAGAGTTGTGTAAAGAGAGGATGCTTAGGGTCTGACAAGCTTATATTAGCTAATTTCTTGCATCAGTCTATGTGTCTACCTACAATAGTAATATCAGGCTGATTTAGTGACATCCATCTAGCCCCACTGACAGCTTTTAGTGCGATTTGCAACGTAACAAAGTTTTTCTTAGGTAGCTCAGGAAATATTAAGGGGGGAGGACAGCAGAGAAGAACAGGTAAAATACGAAAATTGAAAAAAAAAACTGTGAGAGTAGAGACTTAGTGATACCAGATTTTCTTAACTTTCTTACATAGAACATTAAACTAAATATTTTTTCTAGAAGATAACATGATGTGGGAAGACCAAGAAAGGTCAGAGGATTCACACAAACCAAGGTTTAGTTTAAACCTCTGTGTCATGTATGATAGTGGAACCATGTAAAATGGACCAGTTCATTTAAGTCGCCCTCGGGTCTAAAAGTGAAATTAACAACCAAATATTTGAAAGGATTTAACTTAAGACCACTTGACAATGATCACTGACTTGTTTCTGACAAAACGTTATTCATTCTAGAACAATATGACTGAGAAGTAACCGGTAAGGAAGCAGTCAAATAATCAGCATACTAACAAAAATGGCTACATCAAGATGAGGTAGGTTATTTAAGGAGAAAGAAAAAGGAGGAGGAACAGTAATTTGAGGAACACCGGCTAGAATAAGCAAACCAATGGTGGAGGACTTCCCATAACATACACTATGCTGCTTCTTTTTAGATATGTAAGAAAGTAACTATTTAATAATCCAGCACCCTGTTTGGGTCGCGGCAAGCTTGTTTAACAAAAGAGGCCTAGGTGCAGAGTCAGAGGTAGATGTGCAATCTAGAAAGTCATATCAAACATATTTGATACCTCTGTCTAAACTACAGACAATATTAGGATGTAAGACAAGAGTGACATCTAAAGTAAACCTACCATGTTTATAAGCGAATTGTTTAGGTCATTAAAAGCCTTCATTGATGGTTCAAGGTTAAGTAAAAACATTTTTCAGCTATATTTGAAAATGGTGAGGTAATAATAACGGGTTTAAACTTATCACTTGATCCATTTGACAATTTAGGCACAGGAACAGTTTCAGTATTTATCCAAAAAAACAGGCACAACATTAGTGGAAAATTATTCATTGAAGATGCCAGTGAGAGGATGGTATAAAATTTTCGCACATTTTCTAAGGTTAATAGCGTACACGCCATCTGGAC